CCAATGCTGATTTTTTTTTTTTTTTTTTTTTTTTTTTTTTTTTTTTTTTTTTTTTTTGTTTTTTTTTTATTCATTTTAGTAAGAATAAAATAGCAATGAAACAGTTTCAAAACAGGTTAGTAGGACAGTTACAATAATTAATACATTGCATATTGTTCTCTTCATAGTATTCAGAGGACAAAATGTCTCTGATATTTTGTTTAAACAATATTAGTACAAACGTTTCTTCTCATTGAACTAAGAGAGAGTAGCTGTATATTTATCCTAATGATCTTGTATATACCTATACTTTTTCACTGAAAAATGGTCCTTTATTTATATCCCCTTTTTGTTTTGTTTTGTCAGAGATCAGTGTTCCATTGCTGTTAGAGAAGCTGCATTTGGAGAAGTCTTTAAAAGACCTTTTCATACTTGATACCAGTCCAAATATTGTAGGCACTTGAATTCAGCAAAATAACCTGATATAGGCCAACAGTCCATAATAGTAGTGAGTTACCAGCACAACTGGCAATTGTCCGAAGTTGTTGACTTGAGCCTTTTACAGCTCAGCATATTAACATAGCTTTACTTTTTATACTTCATGTTTACACTTTTCTGCTGGATGGTTAAGACCAAGTTAAAGCAACACCTATATAACCAAAAATGTAATTTTTGCCATCTCATAAGTTCAGTCAAATCCCCTCAGGATTTACCCCAGAACGACGTACAGCACCTTGTGGATCTTTTGTCAGTGTCAGCCATCGGGATGAGTCATGGCCATTGCTTGACCAATTTGCTCTCTGTGAAAGCCTGAGAGACTTTTTTCTCTCTAGGTGACTCTCCTTAGGCACACTGTACACATCGATCACTTTCCTCTGTGGCCCCATAATCTCTTGAACAGAAAATTTGGGACACCACTTAGTTACAGGATGTCACAGCACAGGTTCTCTTATGTCCTGAGTCCTCACTGTCCTTGAAGGGCTAGGGCCAAAATATTGGCTGTCTTTTTAACCCATCTATATGTCTAATTTTTGGTCTGCAAGCTTTAGTTGTCAAACATCTAGAAGAGAAGCTTACTGATACTATTATCCTATAACAGAGGCAGTTAAGCTTAACATCACTATCTGTCTGAATATCACAAATCTTAGGCATAAAATGAAACTGCTATTTTTCAACTACCAGGGATGTTCTCAAATTTAAATCCATATAGAATGTTTAAAAAAAGTTACACATTTTTGCACAGATATTTAGAAATCGAACCATATTCATTATTGTAGCAGTACAATCCTGCTACATTTTGTTTTTCTTGTCCCTTGTTTACTTTTGTGCAAAAATTTTAAGTTAGTAAAAAACAAATTGATTTCTGCAATCATAGCATGGATGAACAATTCTTTCAACCTAGCAATTTTGGCTATGTAAGTGTAGGACGACAATAGCAGAAGATCATGTTAATTAGAGGTGGAACAGTAATTTCAGTCTGTTCTCCTAGCTGAAAAGCATGTGAAACTATCATTCCTGTATTAAGCAGTAAATGTAATGTTTCCACTCTGGAAATAAGTAAAGCTTGTTTTTATTTTATATTTTTTACTACATAAAAATTTTAAAATCATTGCCAGCCAAATCTGGGGAATATCACCAACCAAAACGCAGGAACTATGTGCTTCTGTCTTTGGTCTTTGGGGACATCCCGCATTAGAGCACACCTTCAAGAAGCACACTTGGGCATGGTCCTTGGGTTCTTTTTGCATGTTGGGAGCTCGTACTCTGCTCCTCAGTCCGTATGTATCTGCAGCATGCTGTATCAAAGGAGCTTTCAGGAGCCTGGCCCTGAAGATTATTTAATAATAGTTTATTTTGCCTAAATTAAGGAAAAATTTGACCTATGAATTTCCTTGCCCAGTGCATCAATCTTTTTTTTCTTTTCTTTTCTTTTTTCTTTTTTCTTTTTTTTTTCTTTTCTTTTTTTTTTTTTTTTTTTGGGGGAACCAGGGATTGAACTCATGCCCTTGAATTTGCCAGGCAAGTGCTTATTCTACTGAACTATCTCCCTGGCCCCAATCTGTTTTTGTTTGTTCGATTTTTTTT